TTTTTCGGCTGACAATATTATGTATAATCGACTAAACATATCCATTCAATTATTTTGGTATTATATATATTGTTGGAACTGTTTAACTATCTTGTATGTACAACATAATATCTCATTGTGGTACTTATAGCTTACCATCGTGTACGTACAAGAAAGTATCTTCACACAGCATACTATTGTGTACGTAGTAATAAGTTGTACGTACCAGAATGAGATGATATGCTGTACTTACAAGTATGATAATTTTAAATTAAATTTAAAGGTGACGCGTATGTGCCTCCTAAGTTGTACCATTTTAACCAGATAGCTTAGCAAATGTACCACTGTTGGTAATATGCACGCCCTTACATGAGTTAATCAGCGTGGACATTTCAGATATATCATTGTCTACACTAGTGAATTAGTCAACAATTATAAAACGCAAGACTATATAGCTAGTGGCTTTGGGTGTCGCACTGGTTTGAACTTATCCGTTTGTTTAGCAACTTACAATGTAGTGATGCCATGAGTAACTCATTAATTAAACAGCAACGATGTTATGGTGTTATTTGTTCTTTTGTACGACAAACTATTACATGAAGTACTGTACTGTAGGTACAATGTCTGAAGACTAGTTATTGTGCGTCCCTTCATTTATTTTTTGACGGTGGACCTCTCGTATCCCCTTTGCGGGCGGGACGCCAAATTAGGTAATAGTGAACAAACCCCCTGTGGATTCATACATTTGTCATCACCAGGTTGCCCCTATAATAATACCATCTGACTTCTAAAACTCGCTGTTGATAGAGAATTTGAACCGAATCTTTAATTTTCTTTCCAGTACACAAAAAAAGTCTTTGGGCCATACTTAAAATATGTTTTTTTCTTCTTGTTGATTAAACATAAAAACAATCCTCAGAACACGGGAAATCGCTTCTGAGACGTTCTAGAAAACACAATATGTTGGGGGGAGATCCCCCAAACCCCCCTTAAGGGAGGGGGAAGACCCCCTCCTCTAACCTCCCCCTACTCGCGCTACGCGCTCGGGGTGCTGCCGAACGTTGACTATTGAGAAAAAATTATCGGGCCCCCCCTTTTAGGAAATCCTGGATCCGCCCCTGTATGTAGAGTAGTTTGTTGCGTAAAGTTTTGAGTTTGAGATTTGAGCTATCCATATTCAATGGGTAGAAAGCAAAATTCACGACCTGTTCCGAAGTGAGTGTCAAGTTCTTCTTCAAGGAAAAGGACACTCTTATTTTAACGTAATAGCTAGAAGGTAAAAAACTCATCGATACCAGTAGAGATTAATGACTTTAGAATGAGGGAGCTCAAGGTTGAACCAAAGCTGGTACAGTTAAAATGGGAACAAAGTCGTCTACCCGAGCTGCGTCCGCTGATGGAACTAACAACAATCTCATTTGCACTCATTGTAAGCTTTTAGTTTTGTTGTTGTTTTTGCTGTTGTTTTGTTTTACTGTTATGCCTTCCTCACCAGATTAAATTTAAGAATTTTTGGGTTCAGTATTTTTCTGATATAGTCAAACATACTACAATGAAACATCTACATCAAAGATAACACCACGAACGAGACACGCATAACACTGGGATCACTTTCAGCCTTACAAGACCTTATAGCCGGAGTATATTTCTAGCAACATGTGGGATCCGTCCACACAACATTTATTTAGCAAATGTAGCATGATTCCGCGAATCATAATTTAAAAGAGCTGCTACCAGTTGTTACAACAGTAAGAAAGGATATGCTACATGTACAAAGACTTAAAACTTGTGAAAAGATAAGCAAAGTTGTCCATCTTGCACAAGATCGACAGCAGCTATACACCGATAGGAAGTGTTGATACACAGGGATACTTGCATCGTCGATTATATATATTACAGGTGTATTGATAGACAAGGCTATATCCTGTGTTTTGATATAGTAAGTTGAGAGCCTTTCTTCTTTTCAAGAACTGTGATGCATGATAATTCTTTATCGAAAACCTAACCCGACATTGTGGAAGCAGAGAAATCTGAACACTTAAAATCAAGGTTGTCGCTGTTATACATATATTATAGTCACCTATACCATAAGTAACTACTAGGTTACATTCGAGGGAATGAGAATATGCTTGTTCAAGATAGGTTTGCGTTAATTCTAAATTAGCAGTACCTTCAATCCGTCCAGCGAGCGAGGATTACATATGTCAGCTGTAGAATAATAATCTTACTTTTATCTGTTTTTCGTGATCATCGCCCATTTTATTGATATTCAATGTACTTAAAATAGTTTCCTCGCGTTTGTACATTGTATTCGATACATTTCGCGATGCACTCACTTCCATCCCTGCGTTTTAAAATTCAGTATTATTAAAAATATCAACAATTACAAAAGGAACTATAGGTTACTTAACAACTGTTTTAATCACAATATTTGTAAACAGTACAATTTACTTTGAAATTATAACAACATGTCTGTTCTTCTGCATATCATATACGATAAGAATAAATTAGCATAAACAGAAAACATATCGATCATGTATAACAAAGTTTTTGTTCATGAATTCATCCATAAAATACCATTTATTATATGCAAATTACATCACAACTCGGTTGATAGCTATATTCAATTTCAGATATCGTGATCAAACACTACATGATTAATTAAAGTGCAACGCCTATTTCTGGTGGAACGGTAGCAGGTTTTATTGAATACGAGGTACACACGGTACTACTTATGAGGAAAGGCATGTCTTCCAAAAACTGAACATACAATCTCTTTAAATATAGTCACCAGAATGACAGATTCTTCAACGTGTGTTTTCAAATTCACGAATGAAAGACGTTTTCAAACCTCCGGTAAATGCTTTTGAATGCAGGTTAGAAACACGATCCTGTTTAACAGTGATATAAACTCTGCATGGCTATGATATCGTCAGATTGAGTTGGTGTTCCTGGTCCGTTCGGGCTTGTATCAGACACATTTTTAATGACTGACTTATGAGACGGTGAACCAATACAATAACCTTTCTGCAACTGCTGCAAACTGTCCGAAGAATTTGTGTCATCAACACTTGAAGAGCAATCTGTCTGGAGCAGCTGTGAAACAACGGGGTGGATGATGAGTGCTTCAGTACAGTCTCCAACAGTACGGTCTGTCAAGTCTACGAAATATCAAAACATGATTAGGGTAGCGATCTGAAATAACCTCCATAATTATGTCCGTTAGTAAAGATATCGTCTTTTTTAATATACATTTTTGTAAATATACCGAGTTTTCAACAGAAATCGTTAAGGAACAATAAACTGGACACTCGTAATGGTAGTGAAGTGTCTTACAAAAGCCCAGCCAACCAGAACGCCCGTGTGTAATGTCACAGATAATTAGCAAATAGAATATTTATAGTGATCTATTTATTTTAACGGGGTTGGCCAATCATTCAGAGAGAATCTTACAAATCGAAATTCCTAAATGGTTTGTGTAAAGAAAACTGAACACAATGCAAATATTTATTAAACAATAGCTATTGTAGAACAGCAGAGCTCCCATTTTTCAAATGGTATCTGAAAATATACGTTCAATGTGAACAATAATTGAGACAGAAATCTTCCTTCTGACTTCCGTAAAACAATGTTTGACCCCTCCTGACTCTCCATGCCAAATATCACAATCATCGTACAATAAAATTGACTTTTATATACTTAACTGTGCATAAAATGTATTATGACTTCCGTGCAATGGTGCGTGTTAGGTTGTTTACATAGAATAATGAGATAAAAGTGACTCGTACAAAACACAACTTTTTCAATATCTCTCTGTTCATGTCTCGTTACACACAATGCTAACACATCACTGACAGCATTAAAGTACGTACACTATGTCTTCGACTTAAGTAACATACCTGTATTACTAGCACACGGAGGACTGGCTGCTCCACTACTTCCCGATGAGAACCACATGGGTGAGTCACATCCCTCCATCAGAAAGTCCATGTCTACACAACATAAAGATCAATTCAAACTCATGCGCCCTTGGCTAATCGTAACTTCATATTTATTTAGATTTTTGTTTTATAAGTATTTTCTAAACAGAAGTAGTTACATTATACTAATAATGGTCAAACCAGTCGTGATTAGCCTAAATGCTGGACGTTCAGCAGAGAATAGCAACTAGTACTTTGATGCGTCCCGGTATGTCTAGGGATATCAGGAAGGTACGCATAAGGGTGTTCTTTATTGCTTTCGGTTAACGAAAAATGTAATATGTTGAATACTGTGCTAGATGCAAGCCTCTGGCATGATGTTTCACTGAGGTAGCACTCTAAAGTCGGCATCAGATCCGCGCTTTCACAAGGACTGCAGGAGGTCAAACGTCATCATGCCGCCATACATTACACGCATGGAGATACGTCTTTAAATGATCTGAGCTTTCTCACTGCCCCTGGAATACCTTCCTGACACCCCTAAACACACCTTCCCGACAACATTTTATATACCTTCCTGAAACCTAAGAATATCTTCCAGACGACTCCCAGTTATCTTCATCCCTAAAACACCTAGACTTATCCTATTGACGTTACTAGCACTCCTGACTTACCTCCCAGACTCTCATCGCTGCTGCCATTCGTATCATTTTTCTCCCGTAGGTTAACTTCCGGTTGCAGAGAAAATATGGATACTAGATTTGGTACAGGTGATTTATGTTTAATTGGCAATATATCCCAGTCTGTCCCTCTGGTAATAAGAACTTTGTATTTCTGCTTTTCGCAAATGGAAATCGCTGCTGATTTATCTTCTTTCAAACCAAAGGTTTTGCATATAGGAGGTCCCCTGATCTTCAGATCTTCCTTCCCATCCCACCTCGTGGTACAATTCGTGTCCTCATTGCTGAATTTCTTATATTTCTCTGTTGGTTGACCCTGCGTAGATTGCTTTGGATCATCTGTCTCCCTTATGAACCTCTTAATCGACGCAAAGACTTCGTCTTTTGGACGCGATAGTTTTATTGATTTCTCAAATTTATTCTGCTTTCTAGAATCTAAATGCACACTTTCAATTGTTGTCTCATCACGAGGAGCAAGTAAGACGCCTTCTTGGTTCATTTCATCTTTTATCTTGAATGATTGCTTAAAATCCACCTCTTGTATTGGATTTTGATCCAACGATTCTATGTTTGGATCTGCTGGTTTTTCAACTGTTACATTTAACGGCTTAGGAAGTATTTTTCTATACTGCATCTTGATTCCTGAGTTGAACAGTATTGATCCAGTCATTTGACTGTCCTGATTTGAACCGATAGCGGAGCAAGCTCTCGGAGACTTTGGTTGAATGCGTTTAGCTCTTAATTTTGAAACCCCTCCGTCTTTTGTTCTTTCTTTTTTACTATTTGCTGCACTATTAGATTCATTCCTCCTGCACATTTTCTGTTTCTCAGTCGCCTTTGAGTTAACAGGATCGTTTCTGTCATTGCACTTAGAGTCAATATGACTCCTTACACAAGAAGAAGAAACAGATGTACACACATTGTTGCCATCAAAGTTTGGCAACTGTGACCATTTTGCATTGCTGCTGTTACTTGATTTGTAAACCACATTTGCAAAAGATGTTCCGGCATACTCCCAGCCTAGGCCGACAGTGATTGATGTACACGTTGGAGGGGGTGCTAACACAGGAATTTTGTCTCTTAAAGTTATACTTGCTTCAGAACTTCCCCTGGGGTCGGATAAAGTTCGAGGACAACGTTTCCCGTCTGTTATGATTTCTGATTCGCGGCAACCTCTGGTGACGTCTTCCGTTGATGCCACAAGTGAGGTATTGACTTTGAGGTGATTAGAATCTCCTGCAATCGTATCGTGAGCACAAGAAAAGAAATCAGGTTGTGTTTCATTCGGTACTGAGGAAGCTTCATGTAGCACTTGAGAGCGGGAGAGATTAACATGAGAGACTTGATCAATCTACAACGGAAACAAAGAAAATCATTTAGAAACGAAGAGTATGCACATTCATTACATACCAGGCGAAACTTATTATAGTGTTCAACAAATCTTCAGACGTTTTATATAAAATTTTCATTATTTGACATTGTTACAGGTTATTTTATCACATAACAATACACTTTAAGTCACACACATAAGTATGGCTTTGTAGCCATTATTTCATAATATTCGTATTTATTCCTGGTTAATTGTATATGATAGATATAGTCCTATATGATATGACCTAGATTAACTCCTTTTTGGAGAGGCCTCGTCGATTGTATTCTACTGGTCAAAAGAAAACAAAATATGAGCTTCAAATATTTTAAGTTGTGGCATCTGATGTTTATAAAAATCACAACATGACAGCATATATGTCTTCTCGTGACATCGTTTCGTCCGCTCTTTTTGTTCTGCTTTCACGCAATAAAGAACAATAGTACGTGTGTAATCGACAGCAAATATAAACATTATGTTCGTCCAATGACGAGAATAGTAATCTGTTGTTATCGTTTTCCGCTCAATGTACTCGTGCTATCTGCTCATCATTTTTTAATATTGATATTGTAGTGTTAAGATCTAAAACGAAATTTGCTATTATTCATATTCAAAATTAGAAAGGAAGTTCTCAGATACGGACAGCAAAAACATTGAAAACATCAAAACGGTTGAAATTCGAAAATGAACGTTATAACTTGACTGATTGGTTAAATGTGTGTTTAATGTTTTCATTGCGCTCACTACAAGCATACTCACATGTTCCCCCTATCACTGCCCACAACAATAAAATATAGGCTTACTTGTACTGGAGATGTAGCAGCCCGCTCGTATGTCCAGTTTAATGCATCTGAAGTATATGAACTCTTGTATCTAGACTTTATCTTGTGGTCAGTGGGAGGTGTATGCGACTGATTACCACCGGTCCGTCCATACATGCATGAAATTCCCACGTTTGACGAGTTATCTGTAGGAAGAGAAGAAGAGCAAACAACACAATTGGAATAAAAATAATTCAGTAGAGAGACAGTGTTACTTACCAGTGCCATGTTTTTACTCAGATATAACTCTATTTCCGGAACTGCTGTGATAAAGTTCAATACACGATTATCATACAACCATTTCCAAATTCATATCCGTATCAAGTTTAGACTTCGGGCCGATATGGATCGCGAATTGATACAGTGTATGGTGCATGTGTAAATGGTCATATTATACGTTTTTTGTCATATACAATATGTTGCTAATATTTTTAAACGACGTTGGCAATATAAGCAATAATACAAATCGATGGTAATTGAAACGCCTTTTTTAAATGTGTTGAACTTGATGTAAAACGGATGCAATGTTATTGATTTGCACAGATAGAAATATCGTACAGAAAAACATATCACGGATGTCGTATATATGATGATTGACGATTAAATGCTTGAACAATGTTTAGACCAAGAAATAATCATATTTACTGGTAACACTATCAGTATTACCTGGCACCACGTCTGGAGCCCATGTTGCCACTTACCCTTTTCAGCACTAACTATTTGTTCAGAAGTACATGACTAGTGACTATGTGCTTGTAAGAGTTTTCGCATTTAGCATTAATCCGAATCGGTAACCATATCCTTATCTGTTTGGTAGAAATAATGAGTCATAACTAGTATCCAATAAATCGTTAATATGGTAATTCAATATTATTAAGGACGTCTTTGGCAGTTAAGTTGCACATTAAACCATATTTGATTTATCTGTGGTTCGTATATACTTCTCTGGTGTAGTGTTGATACAAAGTGAACAATAATTACTCCTATTCGATTCGGATTCGTACATCAGTTTCGGATTCGTGCTTAATGTTCAAACTCTTATAACCAATACATATGTCTGGTTTAACATTTTGATTTAAAAATGACTCAACCGTACTGGTACCATGCATCATGCATGTCTTTGATCAAGAAAGACTCCGCCTACTGTTTCAGTCACATTTACGCCGATTTCCGAAAAGGCGCCCGGGCGATGAGTTTTTTTGCCAAAACCGGTCGACAAGCCGGGGAATCGTAATTATATAAGGACGCCCGGAGATTATCGGCCACTATCGGCCGACTTTTAGACGCAACATGGGTCGCCGGGAGATTTTAGCGCGGAGATAGAAGTTGCCGGTGTCCCCCCGATTTTTTCTGACCCAAACTTATCGGAACCTACCCGGCAGTCTCCCATAAGTGTCCTGCAATGATTTCCTAAGATTATCTTACGGCTCCCGGTAGCATCGTCCGGTCATCTTGGGATTTTGTACAATTTTTCATGCTCCCAGGTTTACTGTAGACCGCCCGATGTCCTGCCGAGTGCCGTACGGCCATCATAAGGTAGCCGCTCGATGTCCTCAAACACATACGGACATCTGCAGGCGCCATTTTCTCACGGACGAGCTAGGTGCTGACTTGTGTGCCTCCCTTTATATCGTACGGGCTACGTACGTATCCCGCCCGTTACACCAGCATTCCCCGGCCACCGTACGACAACCCATCCATCGTCAGATAGCCTTGCGGTATCCTTGCGATAGTCTTTTGGGCTCCCTACGATATCCTTCAGATGTCCGTTCGATTTAATCCGGCATTTGTTTTGCGGGGGCCGTGCGGTGCCCGTATCTGATGTGACCATACTCAAGGCTTATAACAGTCCCCGGGAAGCCGGCCGATTCCTATACTTCCTGGTCGGCGGCCGGCGCAAATGTGACTGAAGCATTATAACTGTCCGTTTGGTATGATGTCATAACTTATGATTGACTTATTCCTACTGTTATTTCTCGGTTCTTGAATAACTCAACCTTATTTGTTCCATGGTTGCCGTTGGGCTCAACATCGACTTGTACTTAATTTCACTTACCACCGGCACCATGCCTTGAGTCGGCACTCACTCGTGACTTTACTTCAGCAATACCATGTCTTGGTCCAGCTGTGACATTACCATGCCTTGAGTCGGCACTAACTAATGGCCTCACTTTAGCAATACCATGTCCTGGTCCAGCTTTGACGTTACCATGCCTCGAGTCGGTACTCACTCGTGACTGTACTTCGGCAATACCATGTCTTGGCCCAGCTGTGACGTTACTATGCCTTGAGTCGGCAATAACTAGTGACCTCACTTCAGGAATGTCATGTCTTGGTCCAGCTATGACGTTACCATGCCTCGACTCGGTACTCACTCGTGACATTACTTCAACAATACCATGTTTTGGTCCAGCTGTGTTGCGATGCCTCGACCCGTCACTCATTCTTGACTGCTCTTCAGCAATGTCATGTTTTGGTCCAGTTGTGACGTTACCATGCCTTGAGTTGGCACTCATTCGTGACTGTTCTTCAGCAATGCCATGTCTTGGCCCAGCTGTGACGTTACCATACCTCGACCCGTCACTCATTCTTGACTGTTCTTCAGCAATGTCATGTTTTGGTCCAGTTGTGACGTTACCATGCCTTGAGTCGGCACTCACTCGAGACTGTTCTTCAGCAATGCCATGTCTTGGTCCAGCTGTGACGTTACCATGTCCTGAGTCGGCACTTACTCGTGACTGTTCTTCAGCAATGCCATGTCTTGGTCCAGCTGTGACGTTACCATGCCTTGAGTCGGCACTCACGCGTGACTGTTCTTCAACAATGCCATGTCTTGGTCCAGTTGTGACGTTACCATGCCTTGAGTTGGCACTCATTCGTGACTGTTCTTCAGCAATGCCATGTCTTGGTCCAGCTGTGACGTTAACATGCCTTGAGTCGGCACTCACTCGTGGCTGTTCTTCAACAATGCCATGTCTTGACCCAACTGTGACGTTACCATGTCTTGACTTTCCATTATGTAGTGGTTTCATTTCAACAATACCAGGTCTTGATTCCGCAGTTGCGGAAATATACCTTTCCTTTTCGCTTGCAGAAAAAGAAGCCCAATGTTGTCCGATCCTAGAATATAAAAAATCTGGTTTAATTATGTATTTCTGTAGCGAGGATTGCATACAGCCCGGGGGCTACTAGATGCTTTCCTCAACATGTAACAAAACAATACAATATGTACAATGACTAAATATGACACAGATCTATATGAAACATATATGACACCTATTCACACGCTTTCACTTAGACACCCACACAATTACAGAAAGGAAAGGGGAAGAGAAAAGAAAGAAGAGAGATAGAAACGGAGACATTTAGAATCTCAAGATCAAAAATTATTTTGTTTGAGGCTTCGTTTATTGTATCAGAACCATGTAAGAGTATCTTAACAAGAACATCAGGCATCAACTCTACCATAAGGTCTAGATTGATATTTGGAGCAAATAAAATTTGTGAAATCAAATTCACACATGACATGTCAAACTTTGCAAAATTCAATATTTTCTTAACGCATGGTTGATTTTTTTTTTTTTTGCAATAAATGTAAATTGATTTATATTTGTATGTTATAATTGTAAATATATTCAATATTTCGTGTCTCTATTCAACAATTGTAAATATATATGCAATATTTTGTATTTGTATTTAATAGAAGTAAATATATTTGCATTATATATATGGACGTCCAATCAAAAATATGTTCAATAAAAATTATGATAAAATTAAAATATTATGAGCAAAAAAATGAATATGTGTAATAAAACAAAATTTGCAATACATATAATGTGCAATTTAATATATTTATATTCAATGATATACGTACGTGTGTTCTAAAAAAACATATATGAGCAAAACAATGTATATGTCATCATTATGATATATTGATCATGATTTTATTGAATGACATGTTATAATGATGTATAGCTATATGAAATTCATTAAAATATCATGTTTGTGTCATCGAGTTGCCGGGTCAAGGGGTCGTGAATGTATTTTGGAACATGAGTGTTTTCCAGAAAATTATTCGAAACTTTGTTAAATAATAAATGATGACAAAATTTCTTTTCGATTTTAGTTAAAGGTGTATTTTGTTGTAGTACTTAATTGAAAAATGATTTGCTACACATTTTAACTTGAAAATCTGTATCTAGTTTCGTGATCCGGGTTTTACCGTCTCGTGGTCCCGTAGAACGACTCTGTTGGGTACTTGGACTTGTAATACGGTCGGACTTTTTTCGTAAAGTTTACGAAGGCATTCATACAATTTCGTATTCTATTTCGAGCTTTTGCATCTAAAACGACAAAACAAAAACAAGATCTAATAATTCATTGATTAACATAGTAATTCATAATTCATAGAAATGCCCGAGAGATATGTTTTACTCTCACAAAGTCACCAAAAATTGAGACCGTGTGTTTATTGGTATCAATAAAGGAGCTGTCGAAGGGTTGTTGGCTAAAATTGAAGAGGAGCTTTCGCGTAAACACTTGAGGCGTTACGATCAATTATTTAACTTATGTGGGAGGAAACCGGAGTACCCGGAAAAAACGCACGTGGTAAGGTATTCCGTCTTTGCGTATTGATTGTTACGTAATTGGTTTGTGTGAGAAAATGTCGTCGTTTTCTCAAAAAGTGATGACGTTACTCTCACAAACCAATGACTCAACAAGCAATACCTGCTCACAAGATAACTCTGCAATACGCAAAGCCGGAATAGGGTCACCTGCGCGATCACGTGGGTTTTCTGCGGGTACTCCGGTTTCCTCCCACACTAAGAGCCCCGCGCGCTAAATTCCGGGCCAACAAGAGTGATTGATATAAGCTGAAATAACTTGTTTCATAATTTTTGTAAAATAAAAATATATTTTTTTTTTTTAACTTTTTAGCATTGATTTAAACACTCAGATCACGAGGATTAACTATCGCTTGCCTGAAATTTCTTGTGTAGTCATTTCTCCAAAAGAAATTACTGCCTGCAACTAAATAAAAATCTATCCGCATTACATACGTCCCTCAAACTCGTTTAAAAAATAGTTCGTCGACCTGTACGGGTACGCATGATTCATTGGTATATCACGAAAACTGGTACATCACAATAACTGGAATAACACGATAACTGGTTCATCACAATAACTGGGTTATCGCGATAACTGGTACATCATAGTTACTGATACATCACGGTAACTGGATCATCACGATATATATACAAGTACGTAACTAGAACATTGCGGTAACTAGTGAAATTAATAGAATATATAACCTGTAACTGAGCGAGATCGAGTTATATCAGTCGAGGGCTAAGATTCTGTATTATAATCCCAATCGAGGCATAAGCCGAGATTGGGATGTTATATAATCTTAGCCGTTAACGAGTGGGTGACTACATCGCAGTGTAAGAAATCCACGAAAAGTCATGTAAAGGTACCAGACATATCGGACGAGAATAATAGAATCCATCCCTGATGTGAGGTATGGTAATTCAAACCCCCGGGGTGAAATATTGAGCAGAAGAGCCACGGGTCTCCTTCTCAGGGATGGATTATATTTCGTGCTTAGGCCTATTACCTAAAACCGTAAAAACAGCTGCTCTCCCAGTAAAGTTGTAAACTGTCTGGACATTTTTCATTTGCGTATGAAGACCGGATGGCATTTATTAATGACGTCAATGACCCTGACTGACACCAAAACGTCACAAAATGAATAGCGTGACCTTTGGTCACTATAATTCTCCTGCCAGGCAACGCATGTAAGCGTAGGTCGGATAGAATTTATCAGCATCGCAGGAAATGCGAATTTCTCGGTCTAGTATGGAAGAAAGAAAGACAATTTAGCCTGGGGAATGACGTCGAATATATCTGTCTGATGTGCGAGAAATCTAACATATCAGTCATATATTTGTTAAGAATTAAAATACTCCAAACTGCAAAAAATATGTATAAAATATCTTAGAATTTACAAGATATCAAAAGTTGAATGTCTATTTGGATATTGTTAACAGTCACAAAGAGTAAATATCATTTTCATTTTATATATATTCCAATTCTCGTAATAATAATCCCATTAATTTATTTAAGTGAAAAGAGTCATTTCATTTTCCGACTTAGTCTCTGAAACAGTCATTTTTTAATTATATCGAAACAACAGATGCCTTATACCTGAAGCTTTTCATTTAGCTGAGTCAGGTTCACTTGGAAGTTTTAACATGTTAAGTGCCCTTAATAGAAAACCCCACCATATAAGTCATTTCATGAAAATAACTGAAAACTTTTGAAATACTTTTTTTCGTTTCAAGACAATATTTCTGATAAATCTAATAATTTATTCATTAAGATACCTATTTGTACTAATATCTCTTATTTGTTTTTTAGAAATGTGATGATATTTATTTTGTCACATTGTGCCATTTCCTAGATTTTTTTTGATTTTTTTTAGTTAAGTTGACTAACCTGCAGAATACAAGAGGTAGGCAGAGGTTTTCTCATGTTACATTACATACATCTTTAGGGACAAACTTAAACAGTATTCCCTGAAATATGGAAATTTCCTGAAATATGGAAAATTTCCTGAAATATGGAAACAGGGTATTATTTTACCTCTGTTCAAAAAGGGTGATAGACACTTGGTGTCAAATTACCGACCAATTACTTTGTTGTCTTGTATAGGTAAGGTTTTTGAAAGAGTTGTATTTAAACACATCTATATTTTTTCCTTGATCATTCTTTATTTTACGAAAAACAATCTAGTTTTATGATTCATCATTCCACTGTCCATCAGTTAATAGAATTTTACCATAATATATGTTGTTCATTAGAAGAAGAAAAACATTCTTGTCTAATATTTTGTGATATATCGAAGGCTTTTGACCGATTTTGGCAAAGGGGTCTTTTACATAAATTGCATGCTTATGGTATTAGAAATGGTTTACTACATTGGTTAAATACATTTCAAACAGACTACAACAGGTTCTTGTTAAAGGTGTGTATTTTAATATAGGTTACACAAATGCTGGTGTACCACAAGGAAGTGTGTTAGGTCCTCTGTTATTTTTGGTTTATATTTATGATATTGTTGATAATTTAAATAGTATTTCACGCTTATTTGCTAATGATACCTCTTTGATGTATTCTTCGTCTTCTTATGCAGATATTGAAATGTGTGTAAACAGAGGTTTGGAAAAACTTGACAAATGGTCACGGGATTGGCTTACTAAATTTAATCAACAGAAAACTGATGTGTTATTAATATCTAATTCGCGAAATATGCTTCCTTTTACAGATTTGTTTTGGTACTGAGACTCTAGATTGTGTTGAAAGTCATAAACATTTAGGCGTAATATTTAGTGCAGATGCAAAATGGTCTTTACATGTTTCTGAAATTCAAAAAACATGCATGAAAAAGGTATCAGTACTACGAAAGTTTAAATTTTTGTTTAGTAGGAAAACTTTGTTAAGAATATATAAAGTATTTGTGTTGCCTGTGTTTGAATATGCCTGTGAAGTTTGGGATGGTTGTTCTCTGGCAGATCTAACTAAACTTGAACAAGTTCAGCTTGAAGCAGCACGAATTATTACTGGCCTACCATCTTTTTCTAGTAAACAATCACTGTATCAAGAATCCCAACTTGAACCTCTATCTGAGAGAAAAAAAACTTAAGAAACTTTCCCTAATGTACAAACTCCATAATAAACAAACACCTTCTTATTTAACTAACATTCTTCCTCCTAAAGTATGCGAACGCAATAGCTACAACTTGAGAAATACTGAAAACTACACTGTTCCCAATTTCCGACTGTCTAGTTCATTCCAATCCTTTATTCCTTCTTCTATAAGACTATGGAACGATTTACCAAATACTGTCAGAGAGCAGCCACCCGTTAACATTTTTAAATCATCGATTCAGCGTAACCAAGGTTACTTGTTGCCTATTTTTTTCATGTAGGAAATCGAAAACTAAATATTTTACATACAAGATTGCGTCATTCATGTAGTAGTTTAAATTATGATTTGTATAGAATTAATATTATTGATGATCCAATGTGTGCATGTGGAAATGAGTGTGAAAATGCAGTCCATTATTTTTTTGATTGTATGCTGTATATCAGACAAAGACAAATTTTGATTGATGATATCTCACGTTATTGTAATATTTCTCTAAATGTTATTCTGTACGGTTCTCCAAACTTGTCAGATGAAGACAATGAAAATATCTTCCATATAGTCCAAACCTACGTTAAAAATAGTAACAGATTTTAAGGTCAGTAGTATTATCCTATCATCTCTCTTTCTTATTCTTCTAAATTTCCTTTTCTTCCCTTTTCCCTTCATTTCTTCTTTGTTCATATATATATAGTCGGTCGTTAATTTTATTTTTTCTATATTTACTTCCTTCACATGGACATTTAATCACTTTTTATTATATATATATATATATATATATTAAAAATATATTTGTTGTTGTTGTCATGTAATCAATATAGTGAAATGTATTGGAGAGCCCAAACGCCATCTAAGAGGGCGTTTCTAAGTTGAGATAACTTGTGCCTAATCCTTTTTGTTGAATGACAAATAAAATATTTTTAAATAAAAAAAACAGGTGAAGTTAATGTAGATAGCTCGATTTATAGGCGAACGTTTGACAACAATTTTTTTCCACAACTGGGATCAGCGCAAAAGTGAACAACCAGTGACATTTTGATCACATAATGTACTGTGTTATCCAATGAACATTATTAACCCATGTGATATGACCTATCAGCCCTGTGATTGGTTGTAAGTTTCAATTGTTTCGATATTGTGACGTCACGCCTATGACACGTACATGACGTCACAGACTTCCGAAATGGAGTCAAAATGGCGGCTTTTTACATTTCAAGGTTGCATGAAAATTGTCAGTTTACACGAATAATTACCACAAATCTTGATTATGTGATAAAAAGGATCTCACACTCGTTTTAATTTCATATGAGATCCTTAATCTAGTATAAGGTGACAGTACCCAAATCGGATCACCAAACCATCATTTTGTTAATCTGAGCAGGAATTATATTCATTTATGGTTGTATCAAAGGAAGAATATCGATGGGTGTTCTTACAGTTGAAAATAGCACCCGGGACTCACGTGAGATATTTATAGAACGCTCTGAAGTCACCAATCAGCGTCTCCGGTTTTTGCGAATGTCAGGACCAAAATCGGATCAAGGCTTGAATTTTGCAGTATCTTACGCTTCAAATGAATATTTTTTTTGTCAGCATATTAACATTGAATGATGAACTTTAGACTTTTTATGACAAAAAATATTTATATATTGTGAATTTATTCCTATAGTCCAACACAGTATGCATAGTCGTCGCACACGCCATTTTTAAAAACGTTATCAAAACACTGACATATAAGTTTGAATTACGTTTTCTTGTGCTATTTGAACTTAAAAACTAGTCATCTGTAGACAAAAAAATGGTGTATGGCTATCTTTTCTAAGACTAAATCATTGTTATAACTGATTTGTTGTCACGTTTATTTATTTATAAGTGTTTTTGCAAAAAGTGATCCGATTTGGGTACGGACTAGATCCTGTTTGGGTACTGCTTCCTTAGAGTCTAAAGAAAGAAATACCAGAACCTGGCCTAGAGTGTCTACTTGTAAGTTGGACAAAACAAGATGAGCCGTCTTAAAACGACCTGCATACAACGTAAAAAGTACAGTAAGTGTGGACGCATTCAAATCGGTTTGAAAGTTCAAATTTACCCATTTTTCCTCTATTGTCTTCAGGCGGCTTCGATTCTTGTTCTGAGTACGTATCGTCATCAAATATATCTGGTGATTCGGTCCAGCTTCGTAGACCTTCGATGTTTTTCACATATGTATGGGATGGAGAACATAATTCCATTTTCATCTGCCGAAGTGTAGATCTACCTTTCGTGAACGAAATATGTCATACATGTATGCTAAACACGACTCAAATATGCCGAACATAATTTACTGGCTCAATAGTTCATCATGACGAAGTTATGACGTCACATGACGCATCATGTCGCCGTCGGTGACGTCATAGCCAGTTTAAGTGTGAAAATAACACACGTTGAGCCCTCCAACAATCCAACCTTCATTCTATGTATATAACCTAGTATTAGAGAGTGACATTGGACATTTCCGATGGCAGAAGGATGCCACAAGCCCGTTTACGACCACATGTGTATACGGTATATCATACCACGATTAACGGAATGTTTTGGAATGTTCTAGTTTCACAGCCTCAGAAATGATTGTCCTGTTGTTATGTCCGCCATATTGGATAACCCTTCGGGAACGACAGCAAAGAGGGGGGAGGGGAGCAGCCAAACAAGAATCAGATTGTGTACTACCATGTTGGGATCTTCATTAATAAACACCTGACACGTAAATATTTCTATAAAATGTCTGCGTTTACAAGGGAATAACGTTTTCTGTAATTCCTCTGCGTATATGACAGAAATATCCAGACCAAGACTGAAAAGGTTGTGAGAAACTCGTTTTTTCTACCCTGGGCAGGAATCATTGCATTTGTATTTGACAGGGTCGCCGGAGAGTCAAAAAGATAAAAAGAGTCAATAGCCCCCTTCAGGTGAGATGGGGCATCTAAGATCTCAGGAAAAGAATAATTATCCAAACACTCTGCAAGCCTTGTGTTTCAGTGGCAACTTAAAAATGTCCCGTCGGATTGAGATTCCCCTATCGCAACCCCAAAGAAGTGAAAGATTCTATTTAACTAACAACTGTTTTTGAAGAGCTTGACGTCAAAAATTGGACAACAATGACATGACGTCACGAAAACGGGAACATTCCGATGCTGCATAACGGAAACTACGCATTGTTATGGTTTCTGATTCTGTTGACAGGAATGAAAAAATATACTCTTTTATGCCCAAAGGTGGAGGACGGGAAAATTCTTCAATCGGGATTTTCGAATTCGGGCAAAAACTTCTGCAAGCCTCGAATGGTTTTACCCAATTTAAAAACACTTGGGTAGAATTTCCCTATCAAACATCCCTTGGTATTCATGTGGCAGGGTGAATTATTCTGTCATTAGGATAGGTGATCATTGTATATAATTAATGTGTTTGAATTTTATATAAAGACGAGCATAAAGGATTCCTTAAAAGTCATTCCTGTAATGGGATGGGGTGGGCTGCCTTAATGTTTGTATATTCGTGTATTAACATGTGACGGACTATATGGATTTTGATTGGACAAGACTTACCTGAAGTTCTTGCTTTCTACCTCACTCTGACTTCTATCCACATTTTCACACCTGGCACTCTGAGGTGTGAGTCCTTCGATTCTAAAGGAGCTTTCTAAGAGGCGGTGCCTTGGCTGTATTTGGTGGTAAGTTATGCTGTTTTATAATAGTTTTGGTAAATAATTGTACTCCAAGTTTATAACATTAGGTGTAGGCTCATTCTATATAACGTTAAACTAAGGGTTCAATTGTAAAAGTAATAATTATATTTGTCTTGAGTTGTAAACTTTTGTAATGGGCAGTTACCACCATTTTAGGTGTGCTTTGTCTAGAATTAAATAAAGGTAAATACTAAATAGTTTAATACATAAGTTTCTAGTGAATATGCTTGCTGAAAGTTTCATGTCATTCTTTTTAGAGGTGAACCCTTCAGTCCCTTAATTTGGTCCCATGCAATGACCTGTATGTCTCTTAAGCCACGTGTAAACCCCTGCAATATCTCGTAGGGTGAGTGTGTATGGATAAATTTCATTTGTGTATGAGAAGTAATTGTGTAAAGATATACCCATATCTTATATAAAGATTTGTTCTTGAGGTGTGTTAATTTAATACATTTTACCGTAGCTATCTTTTCATTCTTAAATGGAAAATAGGGGTAAAGTTATATTTCTAGTTATAAATTGTATATTTTAAAATACAATTTACATCTCTCAATTATGTATAAACGAGAATAACTGATTGAATCGTAAAAATATATGTAAGTAAAGAGTTATCGTTCTTTGCGGCGTATGATATGGGTGTGTGAGTAATGTATTTTATGTTTTGTTTTCTAGGGTTTTATTTACACGTAATAAAAAATACCATCGAACCCACAACATCTCTTTGATTTTTGAGACTGTTACATTCATAAAAGAGTTTATATGCGCGTATCAACTAATACCAAACATTGTTGTACACCAAACCAGAAATGTGATGCTTGAGGTCGAAAAGATGCTTATGCTCCAATTCCAGACTTTGGGACTTTTTCATCTTTTCCTTCTCCAAATAATTGGCCAGCAGCATTGTAATGAAGTGTTGATCTAAACTCCTCCTAAAACATCCTATAATAAATTGCAGTTATAAGGATAGGCCCAAACAAACTCTATCTGATTGACTCTCATGTCCCTGTGTCCTGCTTTCCGGAACGAAATTTTGTGCAGTGTCATAGTACAGTTGTATTTAATTATTCGCTTACATGCAATTTGCTAATGTACGGACGAGTACTACTCCGATTTAAACACCTGAATATGAAAAACTTTCAGTTACCACGTCTAGAGAGACTCCATTATATGTAATACAGTAATAATATGTAGAAAAACAGTATTCAAGGCCGACATCGTTCAAGTACAATGTACCTGGTAGTTAATCTAAAAACGCTCTTATTTGAGAAACCTATAACACATTAGACTATACTGTCGTTATCATATCCCAGCATGCTATAATGCTTCGTTTGTTTGAAAAGTGACGAGATATTCAATACTAGGACATTTTATTCTTGTAACTTTTATACATACAAAAAAAACTGCCACATCAAATACAATCGCAGGATGTACATGTTACCTTAACGTGTTATACGATTCGCCCTTCCTTATACAATGATGGATTATGTGCGATACGTTGGACGTTGAGTTATATGCGATATATCCTGCTTAGAATTTTAGGTTTCCTTACACCGAATATGAATTTTATACGATAAACCCGTGCATAGAATTTTGAGTTAGATTTTGCGATAAGCCCTTGGCTATATATGCGATCAACTCTTTCCTATAACATTTAGTAAAATATAATAAGCCATTTCATTCTTAAAGTGTTGTTTTGCTGCTAGCCTATCTGCTAGACTGAAAACTGTTTAGCAATATTAACTTGTAAGTCGTAAGACAAAATTTTTAGCAAGACATCGTTTATAATCATGTCAACACAAGGATAACCAAGCTTAGTAACACGATATCGGGTTCACATGTTCTTCATTTTCACCCTTTGACATCTTATAATGGCACAGTATACAGGTGTACATACATTCTCCGCTGCAGTAAAATAGAACTTCGATACAGCTTGTACTTTACCGTAACCAAACGGAAGAAAGCAGATTACAATAAAGACAACTACATAGACCGACGACCGGATCGCCAGATCCGGACCCGCTCTTGCACACTTAGTTGCATGTTTCCAACCTTTGTCTACGGCATCAGATACATAATACCACACATATCAAAAACTCGATGTACATCTCTGTTCATTTCACCCAATGCGAAAGACCTGTACATAAATAGGGGATCTTACATGAGCGTCCATGACATATTGAATTTATTAAACGAGTTCAATCACTTGATATGACACGAGCCTTTTGGCAAGCGTCATATCAAATTTTATAACATACCTGACCCATTTTAATTTGTCATACGTCAATGTCATAAAAATGGTATGACACACATGAAATAAAACAAAATGGTTTTGCAGTTTGTATAAACCGTTGGAACATATTCCTACGCCTCTACAGCTACCTCTATTATTCACTTTATAAAATTATGTATTTACTGTTATTTAAATGAATTTGAAATATTCTTGTCATTATTATTTTCATTGCATTTACACGGTTCATTATTGACATAACACCGGAACTACTTTGCACTGCGCGGAACGACAATTATGTGTTCGGACAGATTGTTTGTTTGGGGTTTAACGTTCTCGCAATAAGGTCAGGAAGACGGGTGTCCCGAAAAACACTGCCGAAAAGAAACAGTAAAGAAGAGAGGAATGAAGTGATATACATATATATCCCAAGTTTTGCAATAGGGGCAGCATATTAATTATGGTTTCTCCAATATCCACTAAGCAGAAAGCACAGACGAAAACTCCCGATTCTGCTGAGGGCAGCATATTAAGTTCCTCTTCCGACAAAGCGCAGTGGGATACAGCATACATGTTCTTTACCTGAACCTGCAGGGATGTGGTCTGACAGACATGTTATTCGTTCATCCTACGCGGATATTGAAATATTTTACTGAACAGTGATTTTAAGTCAATATCAAGCAAGTTGAAATCGCCTGTCATCCATTGAATTCTATTTTGGAAGGTATTTTAATCTTAAGCTGGCTGGTCTGTAGTACATCGTGGGTCGAAGATTTCGAGCAGTTCAACAGAGAGAGTTTCAATGTATAGATGCTACAACAATGCTCTAAAAAAGCTACATACGTACGTTGGTATTGTAACGATTCAATCATTGCGGTAAACTGTAAAATTATCACGGCACATAATCATAGAGTAATACAGTCAGGTATCAGGCTTATACTAGTGTCCGGGTTACTGGAATACATTGACACTTTTTATATTTGATGCTTTGAATGTTTATTGTCTATGTTCTTCTTCATTATTGAGGACGAGATAACATTTCCTTCGGTCAAGGCCGTTGTCGTCATGTCACGGATATCACTATGATCTGTGTTTTAACGGAATCGACGAACACATTGGTGGTTCATACGTTGTCACCCTTCTCTCTACTGATGTCGTTGTGTGGAGGCCTAGGCTTCTCTGTCCTTATCTGCACCCACACCGATTGCTTGCTGATGTCGCTGTTCTAGGACTGTCTGCCATGTGAATGGTGTTGAAGTGATTTCGAAGGACCCCTTCCAGTTAGTCATCCCGTTTACACTACACAAGCTTGTCAAATTCGCAGACACTCGGAGATCCACGTCGTCCACTCTATCCGTCCGGTTGGTTATTTCAGCAGTTCTGAACGGACCAAAGCAACTTCGGTTTCAAGATTATCTCCTAGATGTGAGTAAAGATTATCACGCAGTGTTGTTCTTCCTGCTTTACCCTCGGGTCCTCCTGATCTTTCTCCCGTATGATTTAAAGGATTTTCTCTAAATCTGGACTGTTATGGTTCTACTGTATGTGGTTCCAAGTATTGAGACTTGACCGCATATGACCAATAAAAGTAGACTTCCATTCCACACAGAGAGGCATCTCTGATAACAAGTCTTATTTCATATACACATGTTTAACAATCACAATCCAATTTATGTACAACAAATGTTAAAGCCAATTGAAATTGAAAGATTCAATAAAGCGCAGTGCAAGTCTAACATATGCTGACGTTTGCTTCATCCTCCATCATTATCGCAATATAATCGGCATATTCTAATATTATATATCTATGCACACTCTTTTGCTTTTTATGCAACAAACTCATCCTCCTGTTTTCAATTCTAGTAAATGGTAAGAAATATAGACAATCCATACTACTTCTAAGGCATCAAAAACCACATTGTTTAAGACAGAAATAGTGGCAAAGGTAAAGGATTTTGATTTCGGAACTACTTTGATCAAGCTCATTTACAACTCAGTAGTAGCATGTTTACTCTCCTAAAAGCAAAGGCCACAATTTTGAATAGACACTGAAGCTGTTGTGTGGCCTATTTCATCTTTCTTCACAGTATTGTTCAGAATATTGCTTTTCAGTTTCTTCCTTTCTAATGTTTGTATCAAATTTTATATATCGAAATCACAATTTAATTTCAACATTTATTTCAATTATTTAATTTCAAGTTAACTCTCACAAGAGGCATTGGGCTCCGTTTACAAACGTTCAAATTCACTCTTCACTTTCTTGACAACTTTCTCTACATTGGATCTTTCAGCTCCTTCCAATCGCAAATTCTTATTTTTGGGTGCCCGTTTGACAAGCTCATATCAACTGAGAATTCAATTTGCTTTAACAATGTACATTTTTTTTGGCATTATCATAAAACACTTCGCGTGGAAGTACGATATCAACTGTTTTAAATCACCTACTACAGTTTGTTCGCTAGTATTCTGGTAGTCAATTAATGTTTACTTCCTGGCTGTGATAGTCAATATATACGTTTTATACCTAACTGTGTTGTGTGATACCTGTATACACAGTATAGGAATGACTGTTGCAACTGCATCTTATCAATTCAATATAAATATAATTTGATCAACAGTATACATTTTGTATCACATTTCGTGTTTATATTTAGATGATATATGTTTGAGAGCGGAATGTCATGTTTGTGTGGCACACCAATTCAAACCTCTCCCTCTCGATTATAACTTGCTGTCTAGTATATAGCGCATGTTTCCCCTTTTAAATTTACACCAAACAAAACATTTCATCCGATGTAAGTTATAAATAATGTTTTCACGTAGCACAGATATAGCATTCATCCCCGGTCAAGGTTTGACCTCTAGACAACAAATTAGTCTTCTAAGAAGTACCTATGATAAGATCGCATACAAGTGTGTTTTAAAACAGGTTTACCGTTACGAGTGTGCAGCTTTCCATATATATCTCCTCATTGATATATTTAAAAGGGGACAGAATGGTTAAATTAGCTCCTATGTAAATGCATTTTTCATAAATGACCTGAATATCAATATGGAACCAAAGCAAATGGTAAATTGTATTTTGGCAGATCAAAAGATTATCACCGGTTTTTTTTGTTTTTGTTTGTTTTTGTTTTTTATCCAATTCCTACTTTCCTTTGACTTTTTGATTGATTATGAAATTAATTTATATCTACATATATAATTAGATAACATTTCCTCTCTTTCCATTGCTTCATATTGTAGTAAAAAACAAGCAAACGGAATAACCATCAGGGTTCACTGGGAACATTTAAAAGGTATACATATGCGTGCCTCATCACATCTGCTGTGCATTCTCATAACAGAAATTTATATTTTGACTGTAGTTGATATCATACGTTGGTGATTGTCATGTTTGTAAACTGTTTAATTTCACGTCAAGTTTGAAGAGCAGAACAAATAAATACATGCCAAAAATAATTCAAAACAAAATTAAAATACAGTATAGCATATTTCATGCATATATGAAATATGGAACAGTACAATGTAAATAGGCATATTTATCTTTGATAGACTAATATGCCTTTTTCTGATTGTGTTTCCTTGGTTCCAGGTGTTGATTGTTCAGTGTCGATTAGATTGTCGATTTCGACCTCGTGTATTGACTATATCATGTGCAATGGTCTTGTCTTTCGATGCATTGATTATTCATATAAAAATTTATTTTATATGATATCTATTTTAAATTAATTTAAATGCCCAATTTAAACATTGAGATATTTGGTATAATAAATATATGACACAGGTTATCTGATAAAAGGCATACGATATCTTGTCTATATCTCAATTTTGCTTAAAAGATGTTTTCTTTATCTCTTTTTTTTTAATAAAAGATATCCTTTACGAACATATCGTAAATGGTACAAATCAACCCAATTGTAATATAGTGTATGAATTTATTTGCAAATATATTACACACAGAACTACTGACAGACCAGACTCTAACGCTTGCACGGAAATATATACTTGTTAGTGAAAGCCGAACAGTTGATGTTTTGCGCTTTTCAATTCGTCTATGGAAAGAGTTAAGAGTATGTTATGATTACGAAGAGTCCTGTGAAGGATGAAAGCATGCATATAAGACTGTCGTTATATCTTACATTTTGTAAGATTATATTTGACTAATAAAAATATAAATTGTACATATTTTTTTGTATAATGTGAGATAGACATATTCAGAATTTGAGTACACTTTTTGAGTTCAACCTGTGACCATTGATTACTCGTATACGGATATCTGGTGTGACTTTTACCTGCTATAATGTGTGAAAATGTAAAGTCATACTGATTGATAATAATGATTAATATAGCCCATGACTTTCGGTCTGTAAAAAGATAATTAAGAATACCCAAGGCTACAAGGTCAATTGTTCTAACTTTTAGATACTGTTCCAGATAATAAAACTGAGTTGATTAAGACATGTATGTTATCCTATGATTAATAGTATTTGTTCGTACATGTTATGTAGACACAAAGAAATCTATATCAAGTCAAGTATCTAATCTGAGTAACACTCTGTGACCCAGATACTAATTCTAGGGTCAACTTCAGCGAAGTGCTTTGATTTAGTTGGTGGTTTCCCTGACCTCTGATACATTATATCACTTTAAGCGGATATTAAAATTCACATCTAAAAAGAGCTATGATTACATTTCAAACAGTGTAATGTGTAATTGTAATAGTATCACTAATCGAACAACAGTCTATCCCTCTATTTACTTAGTTTGTTGGAAGGTGAAAGCATTGATTTTTATCTAATTTCACAGCTGTAATCTACTATACTTCTTTTTTATCCAAATAATATAAAAATGTTTGTTTTAAGTCTACAATATCAGCGTGCAGTGTTAATTGTGTTATGACTATGTTTTACCAGTAAATAGTTAAATGTCAAAAAGGGTTGGACAAATTAGTTGGGAATAGTTTTTAAAAAAAATGAGAAACTGAATAGAGATAGACTGTATCTGCTATATGATAAATGAAAAAAAAAAAAACCTAAATGTAATTCGTATTTTGAGATGTTGTTGTAGTGTCCTTTATTTATTGCAGAGTAGCTTTTCCTGTTTCTTTGAGGATATTAGACGAAAATATAGGAGATTGAAAATACATACATAAAATACTGCTTTTAATTAATGTTTCCTAATATTTTTCTTAATATTTTTCGGATTTTCAAGTTAAGCAGAACACACAATGTTCTATTTGTTATTTAAATGACGAAGTTAATGTAGACACTGTTGTAATACGTATAATTACACATAATCAATTCGATTGTATACATTTTATATCGATATGATACTTAATTTTCATCGCAAAACTGAAAAATTCGGCGACATTTTCCTTCGTTCAGTTTTTTATATACTGATTCATTGAACCTAAGCATGATAAATAAAATAATACGTCTTTGTTACATAATCAGCTATTTCCTACATTATGTTGATGGAAACGTCACAGTGTTATTGATCAATCAACACAGTATTCTCACCAGTAAATCTCACCAGCCAAATCATTGATAATATTTTAACAATGAACGATTTTATTTATTTATTTATTCATCCTATATCGTTTCTATTATCTCTTTTTTTCGAACTTATTACCAAATTCCATCTATTATGTAATATCAGATTCACCAACCGTATGGACATTCCATGCAATGAGTATAAAGCCTTGAAACAATAGCACTTACCGTGCGCTTGCACACCAGCTTATCATGTTTTGGACAGAAACCTATTATGTACGTGTCTAAGATTGGTTAGTCGTGAGAACCGTACCATTCTCTGATATATATCTACACTGACTATTATATCAGCCACTGTATCCGAAACCCGGAGTATATGAAATAGCATTCCAGAGGTCTGGTCCAATCCGCCGGTTACAGCTCCCCCATTATATCTGTCGAATAATCCTGGAAAAGTAAGCATAACAACGGAACTTAGGAAATGTTGATACATTGTACATTTCAGTCATTCTTGTGGTACACCTTAAAGACATACTGCTTCATATTTATGTAACATCTTAGACAGGAAAGAGAATTATGAACATCATCTACGCATCATCTAAGTTTTGTCATTTTATTTATTTGGTGCCATAAGCAAGGGAACATATATATATTATTCCACCATGCTGCGATGTAACGACACATTTTATTTATTAAAAATCAAGTTTCTCAAATATATCAAGATTAAACAAACAGAATAGGGACTCACTAACACATCAAACATAATTGAAAATGCGAAGCTTGTTCTGTGATGAATACATATGCATCAAGTGAAAAATGTTTGTTCAAAAAGTGATTCGAAAATCTTGCAAAATAATAATCTGAGGTCGGAACTGCCTTTGATAGTTATTTTCCCGACAAATCCTTAACTTTGTTATATATTCCATCACAATAAATGCACATGTGTTGCTTAGGTCTTAATAAAGTTGCGCACCAGCTTCAGCAACGTGGGCAACAGGTTTGACGTCACCAGTCAGAGGGTCCATTTTAATAAGGCTCCACGGCGGTCTTCTGTTCCAGAGGGGTCCTTCAGGAGCAATGCTGTAAAGGTAGACTGAAAAAACAACAGAGGGTACTGATCAAAACGTTTATGGTCTATGTACCCTGGGAAACAACAATGTAGCCTGTGTGAAAGGAGGTAAAGTTGACCGGAAAATAGCAACGTTAACCGAGTTCCAAGTCTTATAAAAAGGCTTTGAAACAGCAAAGTGAAATGTGTCTAGCTGTAAAGGTAAACTGGGAAGTAGAACTGGATTAGAGTAAATGTAGGCTGGAAACCAGTTAAATGGGCTATATATAGGCTATAAAGGAAGGCTGATTAACAAAGGCAAGGGGAAACAGCAAAGTGGACTTCGTCGCTAGAAAGATGTAAAAGTAAAGATAGGCTAGGAACACCAAAGAGGACTATGTAAACTGTTAATTTAAGAAAAGATGAAAAGGTAGAATAGAAACAGCCATATGGACTTTACAAGCTTTAAAGATAGGCTAGGAAACAGTAACGTGGACTATACCAGCTTAAATGGTAGGCTGGAAAACAGCAATATGGACTATACAAGCTTTAAGGTAGGCCAGGTAACAGCAAAGTGGACTATACAAGCTGTAAAGGCAGGCTAAGAAACAGAAAATGGACTATACAAGCTATAAAGACATGCTACGAAACAGGAAGTGGAATATACTAGCTGTAAAGGTAGGCTAGGAAACAGTAACGTGGACTATACAAGCTTAAAAGGTAGGCTCGAAAACAGCAATATGAACTTCGCAAGCTGTAAAGGTAGGCTAAGAAACATTAAGTGGACTATACTAGCTGTCAAAGTATGATAGTAAACAGTAACGTGGACTATACAAGCTGTAAAGGTAGGCTGTAAAACAGGAAGTGGACTATACAAGCTATAAAGGTAGGCTAGGAAACAGTAACATGGACTATAAAAGCTGTAAAGGTATGCTGTAAAACAGGAAGTGGACTATACAAGCTATAAAGGTAGGCTGGGAAACAGTAGCATGTATGGCAGGCTGGTTAACAGGAAGTGGACTATACAAGCTATAAAGGAAGGTTAGGAAACAGTAACATGTAAGGCAGGCAGGTGAACAGGAACTGGACTATACAAGCTATAAAGGTAAGCTAGGAAACAGATGAAAGGGTAGATGAGGAAACAGTAACGTGGAGTATACAAGCTGTAAATGTAGGCTAGGAAACAGTAACATGGACTATACAAGCTCTAAAGGAAGGCTAGGAAACAATAACATGGACTATACAAGCTGTAAAGGTAGTAGGCTAGGAAACAGTAACGTGGACTATACAAGCTGTAAAGGTAGGCTAGGAAAAAGTAGCATGGACAATACAAGCTGTAAAGGTTGGCTGGGGAACAGGAAGTTGAGTATACAAGCTATAAAGGTAGGCTAGAAAACAGTAACATAGACTATACAAGCTGTAAATGTAGGATAGGAAAAAGTAGCATGGACAATACAAGCTGTAAAGGTTGGCTTGGGAACAGGAAGTTGACTATACAAGCTATAAAGGTAGGCTAGAAAACAGTAACATAGACTATACAAGCTGTAAATGTAGGCTAGGAAACAGTTACATGGACTATTCAAGCTATAAAGGTAGGCTAGAAAACAGTGACATAGACTATACAAGCTGTAATGGTAGGCTAGGAAACAGTAACATGGACTATACAAGCTGTAAATGTAGGTTGGGAAACAGGACGTGGACTATATAAACTATATAGGTAAGCTAAGAAACAGGTGATGTACTATACAAGCTGTTAAGACAGACTAAGCAACAGTAACATGGACTACACAAGCTGTAAAGATAGGCTAAGAAACAGGAAGTGGACTATACAAGCTGTAAAGCCAGGCCAGAAAACAACACAGTGGACTTAACAAGCTGTTAAGGTAGGCTGGAAAAAGGGGTCGGGAATCATATTAGCTTTAGAAGAAAACTGGAATAACATTGAACTTTGACACAAAATGGGGGTCCATTTTGCACCGAATTCAATCTTTTATATTGCCCTGTGAGTTACTTAGCGCATTCGTATAATTTCAGGAAACCATCAATTGGGCTGGCAAAACATTGATATCTAGACAAGTTATTTGCTGAACAATTGGATTTCAGGGCATTCTTTCATTGTCACAATAATTGTATTGAATGAAGAGAGTTCAAACACATTGATATGTGTCCTTTTCCGTGAGCAAATGTAGGCAAGATTCTATATAACAAACATTGCAAAGTATTCGCAAAAATTACAAAATATATCAAAAGAATATTATTGTGAAGTGTGAAAACTCATTCGAGTTACCTCGAATTAGAGATAAATGTTTGGCACCGATTGGTGTATTTTTATAAATAAAAATAACTTTATTTTCAATAACATATAGAGATAAAGGCGTTCAATATATATTACAGCGAACAGAATCTCTGGTATTGCGATTATTTTGATGACATTATAACGTTACTATGTGCAATATACGTACGACCTTTACTGGAGGCGTGAGGGTGAAAGACATGCATGGATGCAATATCGTATCCGCATTTTCGTACTTCAACCACTGTCATTAAATATCTGTTGGATTTAATATTAAAAGACATTGTATTCTAGTTGTCTTGTGGACTCGTTTTTCACGATGAATCAATGAATATTCAACAGAATTTTAAAGGACAGGTATAATTGTTCTAGGCTATCTGCCGAGTCTTCCCAAGATACCGTGTTCATGTCACCTTAGCTGTTGTGAGGACGTTCACAAAACAAAAAGAAAAATTGCCCCGGGAAATCCTTAGAATTTAATAATAAAGATTTTTGAATTTCGCATTTGAATACAGAAATCAGGAAGATACAGGACTATTGTCTGAAATGTTCATCGGGTAATCATCTAGTAATTAGTAATCGCCAAGAACGAATTCAAAGAGAAAGTGCGACAGAAAGTAACATTTCATCGTTATAGTTTAGTATTGAACACCATGTCATTACCAGCATACTAAACGTATAGTGATTGGGTAAAAATACCATAATTACATAGGTTTTATGAACCGACACCAATATTTGAATCTTTACATATTTCTTCGATCTTAATCATTTATATAGGATAAAGTCCGTAAATTCTAAAATAAACTGTCATGAGATATATAGTTTTACAAACACCAAATTTGGAAAGCTGCATCAGTAAATTCCAATGTACATTACCCGAAGCACATCGCGTAAATCACAGCGTAAACTCCAAACAAATCAGCACAAAAATGTATTTCTAGTACTACTATTAGTCAAGGAGTGATCACGACCCCTTGAAATGTAAAATGATAACGTAAATCACTTATGATTTGCTATAAATGCCGTGAATACCATGTTACATAAATTGAGTTCTAATTATGTACTTGTTTGTGACGCTGTATGTGTATATTCGGGTATCCGGAGTAGCTGAGCCATCTCGGTCCATCAAAACATACATAATACCAGTGGTGACATCATAGGTTGACCACTTGTAATTCATGTACTTGTCCTCTGTGGTGTTGCTCTTGTATATTCGTGAGTAGACTAGGTCGCCTGTCGGAGCGATGGTGATTTGCCCAAGGATAAAGTAAAAGTTGCCTAAAAACATAAGGAATTGATCAGTGCAATCACATGTACTGGCTTCGTCCCTTAATACACCTATAATATAGGTAAGGTTGCTAACTCCGCCCGAGTCCAGTTTACAAGCTGGTCAGGCTGACGATCGGAAATCTTAAAAGAGCCTGCCATTTCATCTATTTTTTGTGACCTCGGCTCTGATCGGTCCGTTAGATTTAGAAGTCAATCAGGGCAGAGATCACAAAAGTTAAAGAAAATTGCAGGTCTGTTCAGATTTCCGATCGTCAGCCTGACCAACTTGAAAACTGGATTCGGGTGTCCGACATGATAATGTTGGGCCATGAACAATCATACAAGTAAGTTTGTTTCCAATCATAGAAATACTGTGCCGACATTGAATAGCGGATATGGGGGTGTTTTGCGCTACCCACTAGGAATTTAGCGTGTCATCCCGTGGACAGCACAGTGTCCGACCAACTGAAATTCGACTATTTTTCGATGTTTCATGAAGTCTACCGAAAATCATACTGGATGATATATGGCAACTCATACATCAAATTAAAGAAATATTATTTTCCTGTTGATCTCGACTGCTCCCGGCGTCAGACTATAAACGGTTATGACAAAATCGCATGTTTTCTGGAACTAGGTCATTTTACTAGGGGGACGGAGTTAAATATATAGTAACCTTGCTTATATCATAGGTGTATTGACAGACGAGGCTAGTACCTGTGGTGCAATATTAACAACAGATGTACTTTGCTTTTATGAAATGAAAAGACATAAATATCATAATTTTCTTATAATATTTACAATGATCTTATCGAACAATTGAACTTTGCATAATTCACATCATTAGCATCCTTTCGAGCATCTCCTTACTGAACTTGAGTTGAATTGATAGACAAACCCTGATTGTCATGATCCTCTTGTATGCTGAAGGAGGCGTAAGTTTGGGGCTTCACGAATACCAATGCACTTATTGGGACGCCGTCAAAGTCCTGAATTGGTTTGGTTAATTTCAACTCTCCGTTATCTGTGTATATCGCCATTACGTTACTGGCAACGTCATCCATTGAACCACCATTATGATAAACTGTTAAAACGGTGTTTGATTCGCGATTTACAGCCACAATCCCATCAATTAAAAAGTTCATTTTAAAGGGTAGGATCGTTGGATCTCTACCACTTGTTGGCTGGAGAGATCGTCTCGCAGAATAATCCAAACCAATGTCAAATGTATTCAGTTCTTGAATAAAACCGGTGTTCAATGAAATATTTACAAAGTGAATGCGATCCGGTTCAAATTCATTGTAGACGAGTCCCTGAAGACGGACTGTGTCTGTTAATTCTGTTCGCATTGGTGAGGATTTGTGAAGTTCATAAACTGCGTTAGCCGTTCTGAAGCTCGGATCAGTATGCAGAACTTCGGGTGTCGCGCCACTGCTGAAGTTTGTAATGACTCTGACGTCAGCGCACTGATAGAATGTCGACTCTCCGGGTTTGTGTGACTGGTACCTTGCTATGATGATACAGTGACGACACGGAATCTGAGGGATAATCTTTGAGAACCAACATGTGATAGAGTAAGAAACATTTTTTGTCACAAAACGAATTAGGCTCAAAGTTGATAGACAAGCATGCCCCGCCGTATTTCATTATATTACAACTCAGTCATGCTCCAATTATTTTTTTTTATAATTGCGTGATATTTTCTGAAATGAAGTTCGCATGTTGCTGGCTAGATTAAACTCCATTTGTTTTAAAGCTCTTAATACAAATTAAATAACAAGTTGAAGAACGAACATTGTTTTCCTATTGCTATAAACAATATAATTTACTTTGATGCATTCGCTTGATACCACATGATGACTTTACAGGTAGGCACTTCGTAATGATTCTTTATAGTTCGGTCATTTGTTATCTGATGAGTGTATACTCATGGAAGTGACGAAGTATTATATGATACTCACAGAAATGGCAGTAAAGTTTTGCTGGTGATTCTGTGTGAACATGTTAACGTCAGGAACGAACGTCAGTAGAGACATAAAGTCATCCCCCGTCACATTGGCAATGCGAATATCCATATAGCCTGTAACACATTGTGTTAAACGTCCAAATGAACCTTTCAACTGCATAAATGGTAATGATTATGTCTCCCAACGGTGTGTCTATCTATAACTGTTACAGAAAATACATTGATATTTCAAAAACTAACCATACCATTGTTAATAGACTAGGGAGAGGAAGTTAATATATTTACTTTTGACATCCCCTCTGTAGACTAGAGAGAGGAAGTTGATATATTTACTTTTGACATCCCCTCTGTAGACTAGAGAGAGGAAGTTAATATATTTACTTTTG